AGACTCATTCTGGCTCTGCCGGCTCAGGCTGGAGTGCAGTGGGTCTTGGCTCACTGTAAACTCCGCCTCCCGGGATTAAGGGATTCTCCTGTGTAGCTGGAACTACAGGCGCATGCCACCATGCCCGGCTACTTTTTTTGTATTTTTAGTAGAGACGGGGTTTCACTGTGTTAGCCAGGATAGTCTCGTAGGTCTCCTGACCTTGTGATCCGTCGGCCTCGCCCTCGGCCTCCCAAAGTGCTGGGATTACAGGCATGAGCCACCGCGCCCCTGAAACATTCATTTTTGTGTGTGTGTGTGTTAAGAACATTTCAAATCTTCTAATCTTCTAGCCTTTCATTTTCCTTGTTTTTGTTTTTGAGACAGGATCTTATTTTTGCTCAGGCTGAGTACTCCTGGGCTCATGCAATCCTCCTGCCTCAGCCTTCCAAGTAGCTGGAATTATAGGCAGGGACCACGAGCCTAACAAACTATTTTGAAATATACAATAAATGAATGTTAACTATAGTTACCCTATTGTGCTGTCAAACACTAGAACATGTTGTTTCTATCTAACTGGACATGTGTACCCATTAACCAATCTGTCTTTGTCCCCTCCCACTTCTCCCACTCTGGTAACCATCATTCTACTCTCTACTTACAGGAGCAACATTTTTAGCTTCTACATATGGGTGAGAAGATGTAATATTTTTCTTTCTGTACCTGACTTATTTCAGCTAATATAATGACCTCTGCTTCTGTCGGTGTTGCTGCAGATGACAGGATTTCATTCTTTTTTATGGTTGAATAGTATGTCATTGTGTGGTAATACTACATTTTCTTTATCCATTTATCTATTGATGGAAACTTCGTGAATTCCGTATCTTGGCTATTGTAAAAATAGTGCTGCAATATGAACATGAGGATGTAGGGATCCCTTTGATGTACTAGTTTCCCTTCCTTTGAATAAATACCCAGTAGTGGTATTGCTGGATTGTATTGTAGTTTTGTTTTTGTTTTTTTAAGAAAGAGTCTTGCTCTGTCACCAGACTAGAGTGCAGTGGCACAATCTTGGCTCACTGCAACCTCCACCTCCTGGGTTCAAGCAGTTCTCCTGCCTCAGCCTCCCAAGTAGCTGGGACTACAGGCATGTGCCACCATGCCCAGCTAATCTTTGTATTTTTAGTAGGGACGGGGTTTCACCATGTTGGTCAGGCTGGTCTCAAATTCCTAACCTCGTGATCCGTCCACCTCGGCCTCCCAAAGTGCTGGGATTACAGGCATGAGCCACCTTTGCCTGGCCCCTTATCTCTTAAAAAACAGTATCAGGTAAGGTCTGTTGTCCAGGCTGGACTTGAACTTCTAGGCTCAAGCAGTCTTCCCACTTCAACCTCCCAAGTGGTTGAGACTGCAGGCACTGCCAACGCACCCAGCAGTTTATAGTTTTTTTAGGAAAACTCCATACTATTTTCCATAATGGCTAATTTACATTCCCACCAACAGTGTATAAGAGTGCCCTTTTCTCCACATCCTTGCCAGCATTTGTTATTTTTTGTCTTTTTGATAATAGCCACTCTAACTCGGGTCAGGTGATATGTCATTGTGGTTTTGATTTGCATTTCCCTGATAATTAGTGATGCTGAGCATTTTTTCATATACCTGATAACCATTTATATATCTTCTTTTGAGAAATCTCTGTTCAGCACCTTCCTTTGCCCACTTCTTAATGGGATTATTTGTTTTTCTGCTGTTGAGTTTGAGTTCTTGCATATTCTGGATATTAATTAGTCCCTTGTCAGATGAATGGTTTGCCAATATATTCTCCCATTTCAGAATGTCTCCTCACTCTGTTGATTGTCTCCTTCACTGTGGAGAGGCTTTTAGTTTAATATGGTCTCATTTGTCCATTTTGTTGTTGTTGTTGTTGCCTATGCTTTTGAAGTCTTAGCCATAAAATCCTTGCTCCAGTGTCCTGAAGCATTTCCCCTATGTTTTATTCTAGTCATTTTATAGCTTTGAATCTTAAATTGAAGTCCTTGATCCATGTTCAGTTGATTTTTGTATCTCATGAGAGATGGGAGCCTAGTACCATTCTCCTACAAATCCAGTTTTCCCAGCACCATTTATTGAAGAGGATATCCTTTTCCCAATGTATGTTCTTGATGACTTTGTCAAAAATCCGTTGGCTCTAAATACGTGGATTTATTTCTGGGTTCTCTGTTCTAGTCCATTGGTCTGTGTGTCTGCGTTTTTATACCAATATCATGCTTTTTTTGGTTACTACACCTTTCTAGTATGTTTCGAAATCAGGTAGTGTGATACCTCAAGCTTTGTTCTTTCTGTCCAGGCTTGCTTTGTCTTTCTGAGTCTTTTGTGGTTCCAAACAAATTTCGGGATTGTTTATAGGCAATACTTGCACACAGTAAAAAAATTAATGATGTGAAAGGATCTAAGAGAAAAATAAAATTCCCACTCTCCTAACCTCTAGTCTCAGTCTTTTCTCCTTTAGAAACAACCATTATTGTTCTTTTCTTTTCTCTTTTCTCTTTTCTTTTCTTTTCTTTCTTCTTTCCCAGACTTGACCCTCCCAAGTTCAAGTGATCCTCCTGCCTCAACACCCCAAGTACCTGGACTACTGATGCATGCCACCATACTTGCTAATTTTTTTTTGCATTTTTTTGTAGAGATGTGGTTTTGCCATGTTGCACAGGTTGGTCTCGAACTTCTGGTCTCAAGTGATTCGCCCACGTTGGCCTGCCAAAGTGTTAGGATTTCAGGCATGAACCACTATACCCAGCTGTTTGTTTCTTATACGTCTATGCAAGCACTTATATGGCCCCTCTTTTTCTTATATAAATGGTAGCTTACTACAACCTGTACTATGTGATTCTGTGATTATACTCATAAAAGCAATACAAA